TGGCTGCCCCCAAAGGGGGGTGACATCACTGTCCCCAAAGGGGGATTTGAGGGGAGACCATCGCCATCCCCAAGGGGGGGTTGAGGAGACACAGGGGTGACATCAGTGACCCCAAGGAGGGTTCGGGGGTGACATCGGTGTCCCCGAGGGGGGGGGTCTGGTGCCCCCACCTGCTGTCCAGGATGGGCCCGATGCGCTGCAGCGATTTGGCCACGTTGAAACGCACGTTGGCCACGGCGTCGGCCGCCATCCGCAGCACCGTGGGCAGCATCTGCTTGGTGGTGATCTCCTGCCCGCACACCTCCGACAGCACCTGGGGGGGTCGTGGGGTCAGCGGGGGGGTCGTGGGGTCAATGGGGCCATTGTGGGGCCAACAGGGATGTCATAGGGCCAATGGGGCCATTGCGGGGCCAATGAGGATGTCGTGGGGCCAATGGGGCCACCATGGGGTTAAGGAGGATGTCGTGGGGCCAATGGGGCCATTGCGGGGCCAATGGGGCCATTGTGGGGCCATCATGGGGCCAACAGGGACATCATGGGGCCAATGGGGCCATCGTGGGGCCAACGGGGACGTCATGGGGCCAATGAGGATGTCATGGGGCCAATGGGGCCACCATGGAGTCAATAGGAACTTCATGGGGCCAATAGGGACGTTGTGAGGCTGTCATGGGGCCAATGGGGCCATCATGGGGCCAATAGGGACGTTGTGAGGCTGTCATGGGGCCAATGGGGCCATCATGGGGCCAATGGGGCCATTGTGGGGCCAATGGGGCCAATAGGGACGTCATGGGACTAATGGGACCACCATGGGGTTAAGGAAGATGTCGTGGGGCCAATGGGGCCATTGTGGGGCCAACAGGGATGTCATGGGGCCAATGGGGCCACCATGGGGTCAATGAGGACGGCATGGGGCCAACGGGGCCACCATGGGGTCAATGAGAAGGTGATGGGGCCAATGGGGCCATTGCGGGGCCAACAGGGATGTCATCGGGCCAATGGGGCCACCATGGGGTCAATGAGGATGTCATGGAGCCAACGGGGATGTCATGGGGCCACCATGGTGCCATATGGGGCCAATATGGCCATCATGGGGCTAATGGGACGTCGTGGGGCCATCATGGTGCCAATAGGGCCACCACGGTGCCACATGGGGCCAACAGGGCCATCATGGGGCCAGTAGGGCTGTCAAAGGGCCAAAAGAGCCATCATGGGGCCAATAGGGCTGTCACAGGGCCAATAGGGCCACCACGGTGCCATATGGGGCCAATAGGGCCACCACGGTGCCACATGGGGCCAATAGGGCCACCACGGTGCCACATGGGGCGAATAGGGCCACCACGGTGCCATGTGGTGCCAACAGGGCCATGATGGTGCCATATGGGGCCAATAGGGCCACCATGGTGCCACACGGGGCCAATTGGGCCATTGTGGGGCCAACAGGGACGTCATGGGGCCAATGGGGTCACCATGGGGTCAATGAGGATGTCGTGGGGCCAATGGGGCCACCATGGGGTTAAGGAGAATGTCGTGGGGCCAATGGGGACGTTGTGGGGCCAATGAGGATGTCATGGGACCAATGGGGCCAATGGGGATGTCATGGGGCCAACGGGGATGTTGTGGGGCCATCATGGTGTCAACAGGGCCATCGTGGGTCCAATAGGGCCACCACGGTGCCACACAGGGCCAATAGGGCCACCACAGTGCCACATGGTGCCAATAGGGCCACCACAGTGCCATACGGGGCCAATAGGGCCATCGTGGGGCCAATAGGGCTGTCAAAAGGCCAGTAAGGCCACCACAGTGCCATATGGGGCCAATAGGGCCACCACGGTGCCGTATGGGGCCAGTAGGGCCACCATGGTGCCAATAGGGCCACCATGGGGCCACATGGTGCCAATAGGGCCACCACGGTGCCATATGGGGCCAATAGGACCAATAGGGCCATCAAGGGACCAATAGGGCCATCATGGTGCCAATAGGGCCATTATGGTGCCATATGGGGCCATATGGGGCCAATAGGGCCACCATGGTGCCACATGGTGCCAATAGGGCCACGACGGTGCCATATGGGGCCAATAGGGCCACCATGGTGCCAATAGGGCCACCACAGTGCCATATGGGGCCAATTCGGCCACCATGGTGCCACACGGGGCCAATTGGGCCACCACGGGGCCAATGAGGATGTCGTGGGGCCATCATGGTACCAATAGGGCCACCACGGTGCCGTATGGGGCCAATAGGGCCACCACGGTGCTGTATGGGGCCAGTAGGGCCACCACGGTGCCATATGGGGCCAATAGGGCCACCACAGTGCCACATGGGGCCAATAGGGCCACGACAATGCCATATGGGGCCAATAGGGCCACCATGGTGCCAATAGGGTCGTCATGGTGCCATATGGGGCCAATAGGGCCACCACGGTGCCATATGGGGCCAATAGGGCCATCGTGGGGCCAATAGAGCTGTCATGGTGCCATATGGGGCCAATAGGGCCACCATGGGGCCAGTAGGGCCACCACGGCGGCAGCGGGGCGGGCTCACGTTGATGCAGAAGAGCGTGGTCATGCGGTGCAGGTAGTTGGGGTCGGTGGCCATGGCCAGCACCTTGGGCACGATGGTGCCCTGCGCCCAGTCCTGCCCGAAGCGCTCCACCAGTTTGCGCAGGTTGCTGGTGGCCGCTTCCCGGATGGCGTACACTGCGGGGCACCGGTACGGACCAGTAAGGACCAGTATGGCCAGTACGGGCCAGGACGGACCAGTACGGGCCAGCAAGGACCAGTACGGGCCAGTACGGGCCAGTACGGGCCAGCAAGGACCAGTACGGGCCAGTACGACCAGTATGGGCCAGTACAGACCAGTACGTATCAGTACAGGCCAATATGGACCAGTAAGGACCAGTATGGCCAGTACAGGCCAGTACGGACCGGTACAGGCCAGCAAGGACCAGTATGAACCAGTACGGGCCAGTACGGGCCAGTATGACCAGTACAGACCAGTACAACCAGTACGGACCATCCAAACGCCCGCTGCTCCCGGTTCTTCCCGCTCTGTTCTACTGCCCCATCCCAGTGCTCCCAGTGCCCC